AACTTGTCAATGGGTCAAGTAAGACCGAAATGTCGTCATTTCTTTTGTTCTCCTCAGTACCAGTTATTTGTGTATTGCTCTAACCACAGTATTGCGATTTTTTATTCTTTATATACCGAAAAGTGTGTATATTTGTGTATTGCTTGGGGCTGGCTATTATATCTTCTGATTTCCTAATACTGTACTTGACATCTCAATAAACCTCATACCCCGTATGGGAAGAGGGGAATGGTGGTGGTGCAGGGTTAGCACCAACTGTTGGCCCAAATTTTGAGAAACTGCACCAGGTGACAGACCTGCACTGCGCTACTCTGAGAAAACTTCCCCTCACATCTTCAGTTGCTGCCTTGCAACATTGCATAGCTCCTAATGACGCACTGAGAAGTGTGAAAGTACTTGAGCTAAAGATTTCCACCTCCCATAGCTTGTCTTCTATAGTTAAGATCTCCAGTTTGCAATATATATATATATATATATATATATATATATATATATATATATATATATATATATATATCGTGCCGAATATGTAAAACTGGTCAATTAGCAAGAACTCATTTAAAATTAAGTTCTATCCAAAATTTTCTCTTATACGTTTAAAGATATATTTTTTTCATTAATGTCAATGCAAAAAATATCACTTTTGCACCAAAAGAATCTTATAAAACTTAACTAACCTTGTTATAACAAATGCAATTTATTTTAGCCTAACCCAACTAAATATATTTTAAATACGTTTACAATAATTTAATACTAAACAAACACAATCAAATATTTTTTTTTTTCGAAAATTTGTGAATGCAATAATTTCGCAAAAATCATTCTGAACCTAACGAAAAAAATATGTTTCATTGTGTTTGTTTAGTATTAAATTATTGTAAACGTATATTAAAATATATTTAGTTGGGTTAGGCTAAAATAAATTGCATTTGTTATAACAAGGTTAGTTAAGTTTTATAAGATTCTTTTGGTGCAAAATTATATTTTTTTACATTAACATTAATGAAAAAAAATATATCTTTAAATGTATAAGGGAAAATTTTAGAAAGGACTTAATTTTAAATGAGTTCTTGCTAATTGACCAGTTTTACATATTCGGCACGACATTATATATATATATATATATATATATATTATCGTGTGCCTGATAAGTAAAACTTGCAATTTTGGCTTAAATAGCAACGCTCTTCTTGCCGAATAAGGCATGCAAAAATTTGTGTATGCAATAATTTCGCAAAAATCATTCTCACTCTAACGAAAAAAAATATGTATTTCATTGTGTTTGATTATTAAATAATTGTAAGCTTAATTTATTTTCACTTGCCTTATTCGGGAAGAAGAGCGTTGCTGTATAAGCCAAAATCGCAAGTTTTACCTATTCGGCACAACATATGTATGTGCGTTACTTACATCTTTCCATAAAGGGATGTGTTTATCTCTGTGTGAAACAACGAGAGGAGCACCTCTTCAGTGTATACTGGAGAGGTATGTATATCTTTCAGTATATATACATTTTTCCCCTTTTTTTAGAGACTGAAGATTTTATAAAGATGGATTACTTGTAAAAATACAGCTGCAAGTTCCCACATGCACGTGATAGACTTTAAAACCAACACGCTAACTACAGTACTCTCTTTTATTCGCATTTGTAAAATGCAGAACACCGAGCCGATTAGGAACATGCCCCAAAAAAGTGCATTTCTGTCGGTTATACACTGAACATAATATTCTGGAATCCGCTCTCACAAAACATGAAGCTCAGCGCATTGTGAATAAAAAGTTCTGGTTTATTTAAAAGATACTTTTTTTAGTGCACAATTTAGCTCACAGCTTAAAGGGGGATGGTGTTTTCAATCAAAACTTGTATTCTAGGACAAATAGACGAAAATAACAGGAATGCAGCTGGTATGCAATATTTAAAAGAGTGCTAATTTATGTGTTTATACACAAAATTACATTAAATATCTTATCTATAAACGTATAACAGATAACATTTCAAATATGTCTAAAAATGCTTCGAGCCTTTCTGAAACGCTGAGGTTTGTTGAACGTTTGTTGAAAGAAGGGTTAACCTGGAAGGTTAATAACCCTGATAATCAAACTGACTCACGAAATCGTAATGACACGATTGCAAACAAACCATACTACGGGTGAGGTTAGAACGCGCGATCAGAGTCACCAAACTCCAGACCGATGTGTTAACCACTGGGCCAGCCAGCTACAATAAGATTGTAGCTAGTTGGCCTAGTGGCTAACGAGTCGGTCTGGAGTTTTGTGACTCTCTGATAGCGGGTTCTAACCTCACCCGTGATGTTTTTTTTTTCAGATAACCAAATAAAATGAATCAGACTTATTTTCACTGGGGTTCGTCTTGATCTCTTTCCCAGGATGCGATCCACAAGAGTCGACTAACACACAGGAACGATTTTATGGCTGAGTGAACATGTTCAGCATGTGTTAGGTGAATAAAAGTAGCAGGTGTTAGGAGACTTGTCAATAC